ATAGAAAATAATATATTTTACTATTAAAACTTATAGTAGTATTTATAAGACAGATTATAAATATTTTCTATATAGATTATAGCACCTTGGATATGGGTAGGAGGATAAGACTAAAACCTTGTAGTTTATGAACATTTTATAGCTTTATTGACTGATTTTTTTAATTTTTAATTTTTTTAATTTTAATAATAATATCATCAAAATTAAATATCTAATCTTAATTAATTTACTAGTAGATTTTTAAGAGATTAGTTCTTGCTGAATAGATTTATGAATTAATTATATTTGTTACAACTAAAATCCATAATATTTAAAAAAAATCCAATGGTAAGACACCTATTAGTTACAAAGATGTCACCAATAAGAAAAGATTGGAAGATTTAGAAATAAAATTAGATTTTTTTCAAAAAATATTGTATATTTTTTTGATATTTTATATGATTTTAATAGATATTAATAAAAAATCTATATATTTAACCAAGAAGATAGTCCTACAATTATTTCTTAAACTAAAGTTTATACCTATTAGTATAATTAATAGGTTGTTTATAATATGGATTAAAAAATATAAATTATTAATCCAAAACTATTGAATTAAGTTATGCTTTGTTTGAACTTCCTATTTGGTTATTTTCCTCTTTATGTTTAAATTCTATAGAATTTAACTAAGTCCTATTAACAAGAAGAAAGTTGAACAATATTTAGTGCCACTAATAGGGAGAAAAAGCCAAAAGCATGAAATTAATGAATAAAGTTTTAAAAGAAATTCATTCAAGAAATAAGAATATAAAGTAGCAATGATTTTTTTAATTAGCAATAAGTAAATAAGACAATAAAATAACAATCAAAACCACATGAAAAAATTAAGGATTTTAAAAAATACATATATATTCTAATTTTATATTTTAAATAATACTAAGTATGTCAATTTAAGAAAACAAATCCACTAATAATAGAAACTAGAAAAAATATTGAATATCTCAGATTGATGATTTATCTAAAAAATTAAAATGATACATCATACTTGTTTATTAAAATTTCAACTTAAAGAAGATAAAAAGAAATAAATCTTAATAAGCTTGTCTATAGGTTTGATTATTTGTAATGCAAAAAATGCTACAAAAAATCTCATTAATTAAGCCTATTTCAAATGACCTTAGACTACTATGCTAAGATTAAATTCTAGTGACAACCATTGGAAGAATTCTAAAATTAGATAAAAATACATAATATTAAAAAATATATATATATATATATATATATATATATAAAAGTAATTTGAATAATATTATATGTAATTTTATTAAGTAATTAATTAAATGACCTTCATATAAGTACAAGTAAAGCAATTGACTTATATTTTTGCAAAATAAAAGACTTAGTATTACAGTTACTAATAATTCTATACTAAAGTATCATCCAATGCTATAATAAAGTAATTCTTTATTTAAAAAATGATATCATTTAGGCTAAAATCTTATATTTGAGAATCTTAAGAATCAATTTTGCAATTGACATCCAAAATTGATAAACTATAGAAAGAATTTTGTTACAAAGAAACCTAAGATATTATTCTTTATAATTAAAATGATTGATTCAAGCTACCAATTAGAGAGACGTTACTACCTTATTAAATATATCAAGATATCTTACAACCAATATACAAAAAAATACTAATATATAAATTTTTATTCATCAAATTTAATCAATAAATTTAAGACCAATTATGATATTATAGATGAATCTATTTTAATTTAGAAATAATAAATTTTTTGAATTACTACTTCATTTTGATTTCTACACTTCTTTAATATAAGGATTTTCACCATGTTTTGCATTCTTACATTTATTTTTTTCTTGTGCTCAACTTCTTCTAATCTCTTCTATCCTATAATAAATAAATAAAATATATTTTATTTCTAAAAAAATCTTCAATCTTCATTGTTTATAAGGATAAATCCACTTCATAATTGTTTTTGGTTCAATATTTTTTTTCTAAAGTTTCCACTCTTTTGTTGAATAAATTACTACAAAAAAAATTTAATTGCATAGAATCTCTTATTTCTCACTACTCATTTTATTTAGTTGCCAAGAAAAATACCATCAGCAAATATCCCACCATGCAATAACTCTATACTTTTCCAACTCCTTTTCCCATGTAATTGCTTCACAATATCAAATCTAAGACTTTGAACCTCCATCTCTATTGTCTATCTACACAAGAATAGAATTTTCTTTATAATAATAATATCTATAATCAAACACTATTTTAATTAGTCAAAGTTTTTTTTTAACTATATGAAGTTTAAAAGGCATTGATAATTGCAACCACAATAATGGTAAATAGTGCATAATACTTGAATTTTTTTGAATCACTTATCACCTTAGATATTCGACTAAAAAAAAAATCTTTGTTGCTATTTTGTAGCTTTTATTTTTTTATGCCAATTTTGCTATAAGTTCTTAAATTTTATTGTCCACAATCAAGACTTATAAAGAATATTTGAACATCTAATTATAGAATAATATAAAATAGTACTTAAAAAAAGATGCTCTATTATGCTTGATACGTTGTCCCTTTCTTGCATGTTTTTGCAACTTTAGCAGCTAATATATACAAGTCTCTCTTTTTTTATAGATGAATTCAAATCCATTTTTTTTTATCAACAAACTTTTGGATCTTAAAATTTTATTGTTGATTAATATTTGTAGCTTCTAATTTTACTTTGCCAATTAAATATTTGGCATACCATCTTATTTTGTCATATTGACTCCTATTTTGGATTATAATGTAACCACCACATACATGTTGTAAGAATGTCCTTACCATGTACTCTTGTATTTTGATGAGAGTGCTGAAATTGTAAGTCTTATAAGTTGCGCAAGTTCAATAATCACCTTTATATTGAGATTGTCTTTGTGAAAATAATTTAATTATTATCTTTTTTATTAATTGTAATTATATTGTGTACAAATTATGTTTTTTGAAGGAAATCATGACTAGTTGGATTGCAACTTCTTAACAAGATATATTTGTTCTATTTATTATAGCAATAGAATCCCACAAGATATTAGCTAAACTCTATCATTAGGATTACAATATGCCCTCTTTGCTAATAGTTATAGATGATGGAGTTTCTTCTCTAAATACACCTAATAAATATATATACTTAGTGATTTTTGAGTAGAACAAGAATTTCATAAGTTAGTCAATGTATATGTTTCTTATAGAACAATAAACAAATGATAATTTTAAGAGGGCCGCAATTTGGTAAAGGAAATGATACTAGATGACGATATATTTGGTACAGTTGTAGAATTTTGTGGTGTTGACCAAGATGAGAGCAAATTAGTTGTCACAATTGATAAACATTAGAACTATGACATCTTTGCAAATGATGTGTAGTAAATGATAAAGCCAAATTAATTTATAAGCAATCATCGCTATGACAATGTATTTTTCTTTTGTACTCAAGAAGACTATAATTTTTTTGCATGTAGAGCTCTAATTCACAACATTATTATATAGCATGATTTTAAATATAGAAATATACTAGATATTTAGTTGTAGAGAGTTTAGTTTTAACTTATTGGCTAAGTTCCAATAAGTAATATATCCTTATTATAAAAGAAAAATAAATACAATAATATCAAAAGATATTCTATTCATTAAAATCCTTTTATATTTAAGAATCTTTATACATAAGGCTATTTAAAGTATATAGAAATATCCTAATATCTTTTTTATACCAAATCATAATTAACTATTTGCCAATAAGTTAGATTTTTGATAAACTCAAAGAAATCCATATCTCCTTTCAAAAATCTACCTTTATATCAAAAAATCCTACATTAATAAGATTAGAAG